TAGAGTGGGGAGGAGAATAAAAGAGATGGTTTTCTGTTCGAGTGGTAAGTTGAGAGAGCAACAATTGAAAGAGCAAGGAAAGGAGGGATCGCCTTTCCTCATCCAGTGTATATTATAATCAATGTCAAAGTACCCCCAAACAAGGAAAAAAATTTTTTTTTGAAAAAACCAGGGGTTCAACCCTCATTTGCATGATTGAGTAATACTGATTGTAAATGTGATTGGACTGGTTTGTTTCGCAAAGAAAAGAGGGGCATCTGGAGATGTAATATTATTAATGCAGATGTCACACAGAACGTGTCAAAATTTTCTGATATGAATGATTTTGGGACGCGGATATATAAAGCTGAACACAATATTTCAGTGGTTCAAAAATTTATAAAACGCCACTGTTCACCCTAATTGCTTGGTAAGTATAGTACTACTTGAACTACCAGTAATATTAACGCTTTTCATCTTTCAAATTTGTCTTTCCCGTCCCTCATGGTTTCAACGAGCATGTCGTGCGCGTAGCATTCGAATACCGTATAAACTGTGTAGCAAGGTACTGAATGTCTTGTTGGGAAACTCGACGGGCAAATCCTTCCTTATTCACAAAGTTTATGATATACTGTCGTCAAAAAATGTCGGATCTCATCATATCACCGAATCTTTCTGATCGGCCTAATTACTAGTAATAGTCGGATACAGTTGATTATCATATGGAGCAGATTTCTACAAAAGTGAACATTTGATCACATGAATTTAAAGGCGGTTGTGGCTGAGAAGATTATGGTTGTGGCTCATGCACAAAACTTCCACTTGAGGTTACAACATGCGTAGCGGCGAGGCGGCTGTATCCCTTCACCGCCAACTTTATTATACAATCCGCGTATCTATTTCTAATTATAGTCGGTTTCAAAAAACAAAGACAATTATGTAATAACTACTGTAAGCAAACATAATTAAATAAGAATATCACCTGAACGTCAGGTGTTCAACGTATGTACCTGGAACAATAACGGGCGAAGGAGTACCGTTATATAAATGCTGTATGTTCTATCGTAAATATTATCTCGTTAATGAAGGTTAGTTTCGGCCTCAACATATTAATATTTCTCTTTCTCCTGTTGGATTTTCATCAAGAGTATCCTTATTTCGCTTCGTGTCCACAATACTCTCTATTAACAATTTTCTCATTGACGAAATGATATGTTAGCTTAAATAAATAACAACTTTTGTTGTATTGAATAATCTTCTACATTCGATGTGACCGGCATGACGATTACAGCCGGCTGTGACAAGCAGCTCCAGTTTCTTTCTTTCAATTCTTGATGCCTTAACTGGTTCGGGCAAAACCGTTTTCTTATGAAAAATTGTTTGGTATCTTCGAGCAGTATATTGAACAGTAAATCAAGTTCTTCGACGACAATAATTTTTTGTTCAACTAATATATTAGCTCATACAAGTGGCTCTCGATATAAGAAAGTGATCGGGACCCATAGTAAAAAATCTTAGAATCCTTCTTATACTGAGAGTTTATTAATAACTTTCTTATATCAAATTTTAATTAGTGTTTTTTATATCGAGAGCTTCTTATATCGAGTTTCACCGGTATTTCAATGATCAACTCGAGAGAAGAAAATCAAACTGCCTTAAGGTACGTCTTGATTTTAAGTAAACTGCAACCTGCTTCTGCCGTTCTACTCATTGATTACACAAAGTATTCGTCCAAAGGAGATTCGAATTAAATCTTTCTTCAATACCGGGAACTGCCAAAATTTTTTAAAAATTAATTCAGCGTTTGTGTGTAACTATTTTTTTGATAACAAGAAAAAAAATGTAAAGTCGATATTAATATACCATCAGTGTTGCTTTACAACGAGAGTGCAGACATATTTCAGAGCAAAGTGTAAAGTAAAAAGGATCGGATATAATAAATTAGTTCCGCGTTATCTCTTTTTTTTTCACTGTAATTTATTTTTATTACCACGTACATATTAGCCTAAAACCTTGTGCACCCAGCCATTAGCGTTAAATTATTATTAAGGTTATAGTTACAAGCTGTATCTGAAACGACAAGTGCTAAAACCCGGACTCTATAGTATATAACCTCATTGTCTCATAAACGTATATTTTAGGCACGAGGCACTTTGTACGAGAAACTTTTTATTGATACAAATTTTTTGCTATGAAGTTTGTGAATAAAGTACGTTGAGAATAGCGATCATTCCATCATCATATAATAACGATATTAGTTTGTTTCTTAATAGTTTGTAGCGTAGCCTAGTGCAAAATTCTTCATAAACACCGTATAGCAGTATCACTAGATGGGCAAGCAAAAGCAAATAGTAAGCCTTTTATAAGATCACATAAATGGTTTACGATAAAGCCATTCGAAGAATAGGAAAGCAAGCATTGACATAAACTTTATTCCTTATACCTTTCTTCAATTACTCGACTTTAGGAAAATACAATCTATGAGAGAAACCATCTTCATTTTTTATTTACATTCGGACATTACGCGGCTTAGACATTTAACAAAATGGAAGTAAAATTCATATTCGCATAAAAAATAAACTAATTAATAACGAGTACCTGTAGTTGACGCTAATTTCAAACAACAATCTATCATGTACCTGGTATAGAAGTTTATGAAACTGTATTCGCATCACGTCAAATTCTGAATTTACTTGAATAGGATAAGAGAGCTTTAAAAATAAACAACTATGTGGTATCTATAATTGTGTATGAAACAATTTATATAATTTGATTACCTCAGACAAGCAATGTTTTGTTTTATTAATAAATTGCTTTTACAGGAATGTCTTTTAATAAAAAAATTTAAACGAGATTATATGACAATTGCGACATCACTTACGCAAGAAAATACATGTTATGGCGCATATTCTTACGGGGACAAAGAAATGTTCAATCGATGTGTCGAAATGTCGACACTTTGCAGTGTCAGATTTTCTTTATTATTGTAAATAAAAATAAAATTTGTCCTCTAAAACACATAATTTGTTCCCTGGGAAATTATATTTCGAGACAAATATTCTCGTGGCAAATACGATAACAATTAACTATACCTCCCATTTCATTTATCGGTAGTGAGATTTTATTTACAACAATAATCGGAAACTCTCAAGTCATTGGTAACTACCGCGGTTAATTAATGTACAGAAATAAAATATGGTTCGAACTTGGATTTCGGTAGAGCGCGAAATGATTATCATCCCGAATTACTCTATCTTAGTACTTCAGAAATTACCTATGCTAATAAATCTACAAAACAAAACACGGCGGATATTTAAATTTACAACGAGAGGAAAACAGCTATATTAATATACTGTATATTTCAATTTATTGCAAACTGTACCTGTGCGAGGGTTAATGCTATTGACATCATGTCGCAAATAATTCTGATATTACTGAATATTACGTTAAGTCTCTTCATAATCAAATATGCCCGATTCCATCATTGCAAATAAGATTCTTTCTTAAAAGAGGATTCGCATGCGACTAATCCGTTACGGTAATACATAGGTCCTTATCATCTAAAAACGAATCAAGTATCTAAGACCGATCCTTGTGTGTCAAGTTCTATTGGTTCTGAATACTCGAATTCCAATTAATTATGTGAACGCAACACGATCATTTTGCACAAAATCATTCACGAGTCATTCTCATTCAAACACTCTACAATGCGATATTTATATGACCAAGAGATAATTTAATACGGTTGCAGTCTATATTGTATATTGGAGACGCTTTGTATAAAAGCTAATATATAATTTAATCTGAGCTCACATCACTAGCTGGTTCACCATCATCCGAATCATCGTCCTGCGCCAATTCACTTGCATCCTTGATAAAAAGAAAAGAGTCAATTGACTGAATATTATATATAAATTGTAAAAACACGACAAATTATATTTACTATTTCAAAGCTAGCAGCAGCTTGTCGTAAAAGGTTCTTTAGCTCTTCATTTCCTGTATCGACAAGTTGAACGGGGCGCTGTTTATTTTTATTTAGTATTCTAAGATAAATCGGAAAAAGATAAAAAGCTGTTATGGTATATGGGCGATAAATTGACAGTCGATCGAAAACGCTGTTCTTTCGTTTACCTAGGATCCGCACCAGCATCAAGAAGCGTTTCAACTACAACGTGAAACAAAGTTTTTGTCAACAGCATTGAAACACTCACAATTATTACACATATGCCATACTAAAGAGACGAAAGATTTAAGTAAGTCCTACTACTTACCAACGGCAAAAGCGACGCTAGGATCATCGGTATACTGAACAGCTTTGTGCAAAGGCGTGTCGCCTTCTAGCCTATTTTGAGAATTGACTTTGATGTTTTCCTGTTCAAGTAACAATCTTATTGCTGTAAGAGAACCGAATTGAGCACTAATGAGGAAGCAAATTAGAGTAGATATTCAATCACTAAAGTGATGACTGTTTTTATTCCCCATGTACAATCCGATGCAAAGACACGACAGGAGAATAATCAAAAGAAACCTCTCAACAGAATATGGTCACTTACGCATAATGGAGAGCAGTATTTCCTATGCTGTCAGTATAATTGATCTCATAGCTGCCAGGCTGCGAGAATATTTCTTCAAGAATCTCATCGTTATCTTGTTTTGCGGCTGCCAATAAAAGTTCATCTGGCAAGTACAATAGAATTAATCGAACTGGTTAATCGACTCAATGCTTGCGAAACGGCATACCAATGAACGCAAATACATGCAACAACTTGTCACTATTCTTGTTGGCACAATTACTATTCATGTATGATAGATTCTTAGTCCAAATAGAAAAGACACTCAACTATTTGAAGCTCCTTCGTCGTCAGACATTATTTACTACTATTACTACTCAAGCTTCTTCGCTGGGGATTGTCTGAAGACAAGTGTTGCTGGATAGTGTAACGTGACACGATCAATACTCGGATCTCAAATTAATATTAATATTAAGCGTTCTAATATTAATATTAATATAGTTGCTTTATTTTAATTTTGGCAAAAATCAGGTGGAAAACCAAGTTCATGTGACCGATTATGGACGAGCGATGCACTAAAAATGCTTCTTCGACCCGAGTATTTTGTTGCAATTAGCTAGCCTATGCTCAAGCTGGGTCGTTATTTCGCGTGATGAATATGCAGAGAGTAGTTCTTGGCGCACATGAATATATGATACACTTGTATATGGCAAATTTTATTTATATTGTCGGTTATTGTTAGACTTGCATCGTTGCACGTCAAGGCAGCAATATTGCGAATAGATCATCGAGGAAATGTAATAAAGTGTGTCGAGCAGGTGTCTCTGTCTGTGTATTACTGGTAAAAACAAAGTAGTAACTACGTGGGGGGGGGGGGGGGGGGAAAAGTTTTGTCGCCGATTTTTTATTTTTATAAATTTAAATACAATTATTCAAAAAACAATTTGT